TGCAAAAAACAATATAATTGGCAAACAAAATATCTCTTTGGTATTCCTGACTTTACATCACCCTGACCACTTGCTAATTTGCACCAAGACATTATTGTGATTGCACTGGGATAACAGGACAAATAATTGATAACACCTTACCCACAGATCTGGCCCATTAGCAGTTCTTAATCAGCTCCTAGCCTCAAGAGGCAGCGTAAGTGTTATGGAAGAACTAACAGCTTACATCCCTACATATATAATGTATTTAAAAAAAAAAAAAAAAAAAAAAAAAAAAAGGAAAAAAGTAAACGTTTTACACACAACTAATACTGCAATATTAAAGTAGACTAAAAATAACATCTAATTCCATCCATTCTTAGACTCATCCAAAGTAACATTTCATGACACTAACATTGTTTCCGGTGCCTCAACTGTTGGATTTTTCATCCCCAGTAAGACTACGGGGAATAGTTTACTGAAAAATCTCAAATTCCTACATTCTTTCTGAAGACAACCCAGTGCAGCACAAGCTCACACAACAGAGACTCTCTGGTGTTATTGATGACAGCAAACACAGCTCCCCAATTCTTCCCTGGCATTTTACAGCCCAGAAGGCTTAATAGGACTCTGGCCTAAGAGGCCTTTCAGAAGAGGCAGATAGCAATTCCTAAAAGCTCGAGGTGACATAACGGAACAACCTGACATGTCCCTGCCCTTTAAGGACATGTTGGAATTTCAACACACGCTGACCCAGCATGGTGGCTGCCAACAAACATTTGGAGAGAGCAGGGCCTTTTCCTGCCAGCAGGAGCTTTGGGCCTCCTGCCACCACCGCACGGTTCAGTCACTGCAGAGTTTGGTTCTGCTCCCGTTACCATGGGAGCAGGGAGCTGCTGCAGATGGTCCCCAATGTTGCACACAGCCCCACACGACCCGCCCTGCAAATCCTTCTCCTCTGGATCTAGCTGAAGAGTTACTCCGTTATTGTTACTACAAACGTCTAGGAGTCTTTGCCCTCAGCAAGAGTAAGATACTCTTCTTTGATCCTGAGGATATAGCAAGATCCAGAAAGCCTGTTGGTAACAATTTTATCCTTGCCAATCCCCTACAGCTCCTACTTCCTTCCGATGTTTGTGCTATGTGCGGGAGAAAGGCATCCATGCTTTCCTGCAATTCCTCCTCCTTTCCTACTGAAAGCAGTATCCTCCGATTGAAAAAAAAAACTCTAAATAAAGTAATTCCTTATCTGTTGGAACTATGGGTGAGATTCTCCAAATGCCGGAAACTTCATGTACAATTACTGCAAATATAACTGGACCTCAAGCACAACATCCCTGCATGTCACAAGGAGTGTTTTGGCCTATATATGTAACTATATAAATGATTTCTTGACAATTATCGTCATAAAAATATATATGCTCTACTGAAACATGGGCATTCCCTTATAGTGCTTTGCCTTAATGCTTTCTGGGATTTGCAGATAAATACACAACAAAGCGAAAACCCTTCATCCAGCTATAGTGTTTGAAGGTAGGACAAATGATTTGCATTAATCTAGACTCAAAAGATAAAACAGCAGAGAGACCAGCTATTTACAGGTGTGCATAGCAAACTTGCAATGCATAGTTAACATCATACAATACTCTACTACCTTCAGCCGCTAGAACTTGGGGGTTCCAGGCACTATAGCAGAACTTGCGATACTGAGATAAAATCTACAAAAAGCATTATTCAAGAATAATGCTTTTATAATGAATTCGTCAAAGGCAATAAGCATGTTTGTGTGTACATTTGTGTTTGCATGTGTGCAATGTTAGCATACATTACCCAACTTCTCCAGAAATAACTGTATATATAATCATTTACACTGTAAAAATAATGTCCTTACTACATTATTGTCCTTACTACTGCAGTATGAGCAGTTCAGCTTCCAAATAGCATTGGCACATCTTGTTCTAGCAGGGCATTCAAAAAGGTGGGAAAGGAGAGAGCTCTAAGAAATGAACATGTTCATTTCTTAAAACTTGAACAAATTTGAGCAGAAAATGACAGGGACTGAAAGCATTTTTATCCTTATAAAGGACATACTGTTAAGGTCTGATTATCTGTTAGCCTTCAGGTTGGTATAAGACATCCACGAAGGGTTGTTTTACTGTTAGCCACTATCACACTATCAAATAAATAAATAAATGAAGGAAGGAAGGAAGGATACCCATTAACCTCATCGGTTTTGTACTGAGACCCTCAGCGTGACTTATCTTTCAACAAACTGCCTGTGAAAGTAAAAATTGGTTCTGGATAAGAGAATAATGCTCAGATACTACTGCTTGATTCAGAAGACTTCTGGAGACTGCAGACGAGTTGTCATTAACTTACGCAGAGTAACCACATCTGCCAAAATTTGTCTTATGAATCTCCCTAACAGGAAGGCCAAAACATCCATTATACCACAGGGCAATTATATATAAATGTCTTACTGTTTTGATGAACTTCCTTCTGATATTACAGTATATCTGAAGATTTAGCCCCAAAAATACTTTGTCCTTGGGGAGGCATCCACTACTACAAAGCCAATAAGCAAATCATAAAAAGGGTACACCTGAAAATAGCCTTACCATTATTTTAATGAAGCCAGAACTTCTGAGATTGCTCCTGCATACGTGGAGCTAGTTGAGCACACACAGTAACTTTACTCACCTGCCTTGAGGTTCATCAGTCTCAAGGGAACTTGGTTATCGCCTAAACCTCTCCCATGTATTTACTACATGGCTTTAGTGTGAATAATCTCACCAATCCAGATGTACTGCAGCCACTTACGCGCCAGCACCTGCAGAAAAACATAAGTTGTTGGCTGTTCATCGTTGTGAGGGAGGTACTCTATAAACTTGGCTATAACCTTTTCCTATTCACAGAACTCTACTTTGCTAGGAGCATACACTATATTAAGCTACCTGCATTTAACAGTTCACTAAAAAATCTTCTTGGCAAGTCCTATCCCACAGATTCAATTAGGAAGCTCTTGCTATTCCTGATTCTTCTGGCTAGTTGCTCTAAACATTCCTGGCACAAGGTGAGAAGTTCTTAGAAGGCAGTTGCTACTTTCCAGGCATGTAGAGACTGGTATCTGGAACAGTCTAGATGGCTTCCAAGTATCAAACACTTCAGAGAGCAAGCATACCAAAAACAGTATGAAATAGGTAGCACTCAGCATTCCTCCTTTTCCATCAGTTCCAGGAGCACTTTGAGAGCTTCCACATTCATGAATTGTGAAACACCTTCAGTCAAAATGAAGGACTGCTGTGGCTCACCAAGAGATGATGCCGCCACTGCCTCTTCTCCTATACCATCGCGCTATGGAAATATGTTCTTACATATTAATATTTATAGCTATAACTGATTTATCTACTGAAATTTATACTAATTGGGAGAATGGAATCCACCCTTCAAGGAGGGGAGCTGGAAACCTATTTGAAACCTGTTTCAAAAGGGATTTTTACATTGTGACACCCACTTCACCTGAACAGCAACAAACCCGTTCAGTAAAATTTATCACCTTTCTTGCAAGAAATTATTAAAGAATCCAGAAGCTGCACCATTTTATAGAACCTTCTTCAGTCTTCCTGTTGAACCAGATCCACACCTAATCTTCAGCAGCCTGGCCCAGTGAAGTCAGAAACATGCTAACTCATGTCCAGATTGCATAATGCTGATCGTTTGCTTACACAGGAGCTGCACAAGACAATTCTGCTTCTCTAATAAACTATCATTCCTGTAATATATGACAGTGGTAGTTGCATAAACAGAGAAAAAAAAATGATTTGCACTAATAATTACTAACTAGCCAGAGTAGCTTAACATAAAAGGTAGCCTTACTACCAAGTTTCATCTCAGCTCCATAGGGGTACATAAGCTTATCTATTAAAAAGGGAAAAGAAGTAAGGCATAGGATAATTTTATTTAGCCGACAGGTATAGCTCAAACAGATATTACCAACTAAAAAGAACTCCTACATGATTTACATGCAAAAAGTTTAATTGAAAAACAGGGGCTTGTATACTGCTTGAGGAAACACAAACCAGCAAAAGGGACTTCCAGAGTACGGCATAGTAAACAGCAGTAACTTAAGTAGACACTTCAAACTGCTTTAAGAGATTTGATTTTCCTAAGCTAATGAAGTATCTTAAAATTATACAACAGTACAATATAAAGGTTCAGGATTTTCATGTCTTTTCTTAGATGCTGCACTAGCTTTCCAATTGCTACAATAAGTAATACTGGAATTTTCTGGAAGATAATAGAATCCATAAATTAAACATTCTAAAAATTAAACTCTAAAATTTTAACTGTAAAAATTCTAATCCTCCAGTCACTTAATAACAATTGGTACACTGCTTTATAAAGTATGAGTAAAAAGTTGTAAATATCTAGGCCAGTTATTTTTATTGTAAATGTCAAAGAAAACCAGACTTACATGAGACACTTACACATCCTTTGGGCTAGCTCAGGTGCCAGAGGTATTCTGCATACTACCACACGTACCTCAACAAGAGCTAACTTACAGCTTCTGTAATTTCTGCAGAAACACATATGGAATCAATAAACATACACACTAACTGCAGGAAAAAAAAAAAAGCAAACAAAGCAAAACAAACAAAAAAGGAGTGGATCAGATTCAATTTAAGTAAAAATTAAGAGGCATTCTGTAAGAACAAACACTGCTTGTGTTAGAGGCAGGTTAATAAAAGAAAATTATTACCATTTATGATGAAAATCTAAAGGTTACTGCAGACAAGCAAATAATACAACTCTCTACATCCAGTATAAGTGTGGGGTTATTTTTTTAAGCTAAATATGTCCTTGGAAATGCTACTTCAACAGATGTGAGTGGTGTAATTTCTAGACTCCTGTGCTTTATTTTTTTAAACCGTATGAGGCAAATTGTCACAAAATTTTTGATTAAATAGTCTTAATGCATGAATAATGTGCTACGGTCTTAACAAAAGACAGGACAGCTTATGTAGAGATAGTATCCCCGAAGCAGCATTTATTTTATTCATTTAATTCCAAAACATTTAATTTAGAAGTCTGGCATTTCAGTCATGGGCTAACATTGACATAAGTGTTGTCAGAATACACAGACAACTAAACAGCAAGGAGTTTACAAAAAATAAATTCATGATTCTTCAAAACAACTGCAAATGTTACAAGTATCAAAACTCTTAGGTAGATGCACCGCATTAAAGGAAATTGTGCACATAAGTTAGGCAAAAAAACAAACTGCTACTGAAACCTCACATTTCAAACAGTTTATTGTAAACTGATGAATACGGTCATCACTTCACATCAGCTTTACTGTTTTCATCGACCGAAAAAAACTTTGGGGTGGCTAATTTACTTTGCATGCACAGAATGTACTGCTCAACAAAACTGCCAGCTCATTTTAAATGGATTTTTTTTAAACTGGAATCTAATTATCTTCAATCACTATTCATTATTCTTTCCATATTTTATAATCATCAAACTAAAAATGCCTCATTTAATATGCATCCTTCTGCACTGTTCAAGTGCAACTAAGATAAATAGGGCAAAGAAACCAATCAATCCATCAGTGCCCATGAAGACTTATCTGAAGCTGCTTCCTGACAAAGTGGACAGCAGATCTGAACAGCTGTACAATACAGATATGCTTAGCACTAGATATTTAGTGTGACTGTGGCAAGGAAATATTGGTGATGATGGGGATGGTGAAGTGGATGAAAGAGGGATCAGAGGAAAGCTTTTTAATTATTGCCCTCTCCTGCTTCTTCATCTTGCTGGTCACTCGTCCACAGAGTGAGGTTATCTCGCAGTAACTGCATGATGAGAGTGGAGTCCTTGTAGGAATCCTCGTTTAGAGTGTCCAGCTCTGCTATGGCATCATCAAAGGCTTGTTTGGCTAAAAGGCAGGCCTGCTCAGGAGCATTCTGGATTTCGTAGTAGAACACGGAGAAATTGAGGGCCAGCCCCAGCCGGATGGGGTGAGTGGGCTGCATGTGCTCTTTGCTGATTTCAAAAGCCTCTTTGTAGGCAGCTTCTGAGGCTTCCACAACACTGTTCTTCTTCTCTCCAGCAGCAACTTCTGCCAAGTAGCGGTAGTAATCTCCTTTCATTTTCAGATAGAAGACCTTGCTCTCATACTGGAAGTCATTGCAGTTCTTGATCAAGTACTTATCTAGGAGGGCCAAAACATCATTGCAGACGGTCTCGAGCTCCTTCTCTATCTTCTCCCTATAGGCTTTGACCTTTTCCAATTTCTTCTCATTCCCATCTGCCATAGTCTTCTGCTCTATGCTGCTGATGACACGCCAAGAAGATCTTCTAGCTCCAACTACATTCTTGTAGGCTACAGACAGCAGGTTTCTATCCTCATTCGAGAGAGGCTCATTCAGCTCAGTCACCTGAAAATATAGACAAAGATCAAATTTAAAGAGCTTGCCTAAAGAGAAGAACATGCAATTTTTGTTTAATACTTCCATTATGAAGAGCAAGAGTCAAAATTCCTTCTAGACAAGAGCCAATCTGTACTGACAGAACTTTAAAACTGCAGACAAGTTCAAGAGCGAAAACTCCATAGCTCTGCTGTTAACAGAAGTTGTATTCAAAAGCCACTACAAAGCACATTCACAGTCAGGTTGGAGTAAAGAAAAAGCATTCGCAAAAGGAAGACTCTCTGCCTTGACAATAATTATTCAGGCTACACACTGAATGTAAATGTACCTAGAACAACAGCTACACGAATCTTGAACACTCCACAGACATATGGAAACCGGTGCAGCTCTTTCATTTATTTCCCCTGCGGCTTTCTTTCAGATGAAAGAGATGGATGTGCTGAAGCCACTATGATCAAGCTCTCCGTAGTACACATATCATTAGCGTTTCATAGCATCTCACAATCACTTACTGAGCAATTTTAAAATGTAAAATAAAAGTCACTCTTTTCTATTTAGTGGTGCTGCAGTCACATTTCAGGAACAGGACATGTGAGAAACTACATAAGAACTGGAAAAAAAAAGAAGAAAAAAAGCACCAAGATTAACTCCAAATTCTTCCTATAGAAAGCTCGGATAACGTTGATACTTCTAAATACTGCGTTTAGACTCTTTGAGTTGCTATATTAACTTAGAGAAAATTCTCAGACTTATAGTTACTTAGAGTTGTTCTCTTTGCGAAACTTAAACATAAAACTGAACTCCCAGAAATTTGGACGAGAAACAACTTCACTACATTAAACATACTTCATTATCTGCGGAACTATACTGCTTTAGAAGTCATTAGAATTCTAAGGATATGTCCTTAGGTGTGAAAATTGACCTGTCACTGCTCAGAAGCTGTGTTTTAAAAACAGTGTGGCATTCAGTAAATGTACAGTTTCAAAGCCTAAGACAGCAATTTCTATTAATTGCAGGCATTAACAAAAGCATACGTAGATGCAGAGACAGCCTATTATAACTTTTTTTTTTTTCTTAAAATATAGCAACTCTTAATTCTTACATTCTTTTTTGTTAAAATAAACGCAGCCTCATCTCCAAGATACGTTTCGCCCCACAGCTCGGGGATGAGAACTCCCCCAAAGCACTGCTCTGCCCAGCCTGATGCAGTTTAAAACAATCTGCCAAAGGTCAAATGCGTAGGAATCAGCTCTTGTGCCATTTTTCACAGCTTTTTCACAACTTGCACTCTGCAGCAACACAGGCACACTCCAAGACCTGTATCATCTTCTCTAATAAGATGTCACATTCCTCAAAACAAAGGTTCTATTAAGAGCTACAGTGTATTAGCAGAACATTTGCATGTAAAAAAGAAATACAAACAAAGGAAACATACATCACCTCATCCACACACCAAAGGAAAAAAAAAAAAGGTATGGGACAAGTGTACAAGACAAAAACACCTGAGGATGTCTTGGCAGGACAACAGTAGCAGACTGGATTCCTAACCCAGAAGCACTATACAATGGAAGGGAAAGCTAAAAGACTGCAACTATAGCTACTGATTCTTTTCCTTATGCATCTTGTCCCTGCCTTTTCCATTCCACCTCATCCTCCATTTACAGTCTGTTTTTTTTACTCTCAGTTAACTGCTACCTTTGCCTTTGATCCCTTTCTCTTCTTCAAATTAAGTAGCTCCCTCTCTCACTAGTGCTAGTATTTATGTATTCAATGTCCAGAGATACTGACCCTCTAACTTCTTAAGGAGGTTGCTTTAAGCTTTTGAAAATAAGCTTTTAGAAACAGGTGTATTCTGTGTATTGAAGACACCAAAAGAGATTTTACAGCACCTAACAAAGGCACTGGGAACCAACACAATGCAAATAACTTTTCAGTATTTAAACACAGTTTTTGACTACACTATATGGCTGTTGTATTTACTTTAATGGAGATAATTTAATCATTTTTCAAAATTCTGTTCCACTTGTCCTAAGTCAAAAACTGCAATTATGTAGCCAGACAAAAAAATTAGTCAAGGTCTTTTCAAGTGTATTTTCTCTCTTCAGATGTTAATCACTTTGAATTTCAGAAAATGCATAACATCCAGCCTGAAATAGGTAGTATCATTTATAAAGTCCATTTGTGCAGGAGACAACGCTTACAGAGAAACTACACCTAAAAAGCCTTTCACCTTCCCTAATCACAACAGAACGTCAAAGGATGTTTTGAAAACAGCCTATTTGCAGGAATTTCTGAAGATGAAACATGCCTGTCTGTACATCTACCTTACTATCCATGATGTTGAGCACTCCATTTGGAAGCACATTGACACCGACTTTAAGTCTGCCAGCTTAAGTTTAACTATCACATTGCACTGAGCAAGTCTTAAAACTATCAAAAAGCACCTGACTACAAAGCTTATCCTGACACAAGTTTGAGAAACAGCAGAGAATACTTAAGGTGCACCCATGTAATCTGCAAGTACACACAGGAGTAGTCATCCCTCAGGGCTACTAAAAGCAGAGCAGCTGTTTACATATGGAAAAGGAACGTTAACTTCTTAATCAAAGCAAGACTAATCCAGGTATCATTAACTTACGTGGCTGAATTTGCTGTCTTGAACACACCTTGAAACAGTTTCTTAAAATGAAAGAATCAGCAAATATCATCAACTCTAGCCCATCAAGAAAGAAAATGTAGTGAGTATTGTCTTTTTAAGATACACTACATATGGGCAGGGGCACAACTGCAAGATTCTGATCTGTCAACCATAATTTTCAAAAATGTTTTCTGAAGAATTAGTGAGGAATTAAAAAAAAAAAAAGACTAAAAAAAAGTCAGATTCTGGAGAACAAAGTGGAAACAAAATCTGTCAACTATATTTCCCTTTATCAAATATACTGCCTTTTTACATCCAGGCTGCAATAGTCAGATTAGTCTTGCACAATAAACCTATTCAAATCTAGCATATGGCACAATTAGCCCGAAGAAGGTCAACATACCGAAGAAAACCTTGGGGAGTTAAACTGAGAAAGATCTTATTTCTTCTTTCCTTCTTCAAATTTTCCACATTTCTATCCCTATTTAAGACGGTTTTTAGAAGAAAACAGAGCATATGCTCAAATTCCATATGTTTTAAAAGTTACAGAAGCAAGACTAGCATTGTATCATAAAAATTAAAACCTAGTAAGACAAAAACAAAACATTCAGTTTTCTTTCAAACCCAACAACACATCTCACTTGTCTACATCAGCCATAACAGACATTATATCCCGAAGGCTACACAGAGCACTTGAACCACAGTGAACTACTTTTTCAGATAAAGTTAAAAAATACCATTCCCACAAGCAACTTACATCCCCTGGCAGATCCCGTTAACTTCACCTAGAAACTGAGAGTCACCTTCAAAGAAAGCAGCATCTGAAGTTGTGCGCTATAATTCAGCATAAAAACTAGCAGTTTCACATTTGTAATGCTTCATACAGCAGAAGCCTCCAGCAGTTTGAGTGAAGCCCTTTCCTTCCCAGTATCACCTTTCAACATGTCCCCCAGGCCCCTTTCCATTTCATTAACCCTGCACTACTTTCTTCTGCTCTTCAATGCAGTAACTTCAGAGAAAAGGAACAGATTACCCCAGTCTTAGCTACAGCATAGAATCATAGAATCATAGAATGCTTAGGGTTGGAAGGGACCTCTAGAGATCATCTAGTCCAACCCCCTGCACACGCAGGGTCACCTAGAGTACGTGGCACAGGACTGTGTCCAAGCGGGTCTTGAAGATCTCCAGAGAAGGAGACTCCACAACCTCTCTGGGCAGCCTGTTCCAGTGCTCTGTCACCCTCACTGTTAAAAAATTTTTCCTTAAGTTCCTGTGGAACTTTTGGATGCTCTGATACTTTGTGTAGATGTATCTAAAATAACTCTTAGGGTGCAAAATTGTATCAAGAAGCTATCTATTGCAGGCAGATTTGCAAAGCAGGTAAGAAAGCAGACAATGTGTCTCCTCCTTATATAGGGAGGATGTAGAGATTGGGGGGGAACCTTCCCTTCTACCCATAGCCATTTCTACTCATAGTAGAAGCAAGGTATTGGATTGCAACAACCATATTTAAATTTTAGACATGATCACCATAAAGCTCATTACTTCTCATATCTGTTAGGAAAAACACTAGCACTTGAAGGATTAAAAAACACTTATATGACGATTTCAAAATAGCATTAACTTAATAAGGTGTTATCCTATATTTTCCTTAAGCAAATAGACCCCCTCATACCTAAATTCGGAATTATTTTCAGTCCAGAGCAAAATGATGCAATCGACCATTCAGACTGTGGTGTGCTAGCAGTTTTCCTGCAGATTAACAGTCTGCTTTATGTAGTAAGAATATAGGCTAAATCAATTTATTTCTATGATACAGGTAACTCCTCCTCTGCTTTGTGCCCATTTATTTCAGTTTACTGGAAAATTAAATAAAGAAATTCTGACTGTAATTCCAAAATTCCTAATTCCACATGCACAGCTCACCCAGTTCTATTAGCTCATGAATGACTTACATGTGTGTGGGATCCCACATAGGACACGCCAAGCTGAATTAGCTTTGTATGAAAAACACAGCACAGTGAAGGTTCCACTATTAACAGCAGATCCATGCACTGCAGATCACCTAATACCATGAAATGTGACCTGGATCAATTACATATATGTGATCACATTTCTATTTTGTTACACAGAATATTTTCTTAGCACTTTTTATTAGTCAGAATGTGTGTTAGATCTCGTGCCAGTTCTTCACAAGTTGCTGGGGAAAAACAAACAAACAAAAAAAAACAGACTGTACTTGATGCAGTAAAGAGCAAGGATAGCACGGGCCAGACAAGACTGGAATCACTGCAAACCCTCCTAGTGCAAAGTTATAAAGTTCATAACTACTGAATAAACGGGAACCAAAAGAAAGAATTTAAACCAGATCATTTTTTTTTTGCATCATGTGGCTTGAGTGTTTTCTATCAGACATTAGAAGCTCTATACCTAGACGTATTGTATCGAG